AACCGTGAATTTTGTGTATTGTTGCACCCCTAGTAGATAGGTCTGCATTTAACAGTCAAATATTCCAAATCAGAACAGTGGCTGTCTACAGTCTTTTGTCTCTTTAGACCAGCTGTCATTGATCTAGATGCATAAACCCCCAATGTTGGTGAGGCAAATACTTGGGAGCGGTGGCTTAAATGTTTTTTTTCTTTAACCGTGCTACCGTGCCCACCCTGCAGCCTCGCTTTCGCCTCCTTTGTTTACACTTCCTTTTGGGCTTGCTGCACGCCTGGAGTTCTTATTATGTCCTCCGTAATGCTGTGGAAGTGGTGATAGTCCAACATAATGTTCCTTGCACAGTGTAATCCCAAACTTAGAAGGTCCTGAGTAGATACTACTCGCCATACAGTAGTAAAAAACACATACATCCACACATATACATGTAGAAAATCTAGAAAAGCAAGCACCGAATGTGGAGAGCAGTAAGCCACTGTGTCTATGTGTGCGTCGATGTCTTGTGGAAGGAGGGAACCTAACATGCATGTCTGTGGAAAGCCAGAGTACCTCGAGAGATTTTTTAAAAAACTATGTTGTTTTTTTAATTTACAAAGAAGAAATTAGTAGACATGCAAGAGCAATGAATGGCTGTTAAATTAAACGGCATGATTATGATATATTTTAGACTTGAGCAAGTATTGCATCAGACCGATGATGGACAATAGTAAAACCCCTGTAGCTAGTGAGACTATGATGAGTTTATTCTCTCAAATGCCACCAAGCCAGACAAATTAGATTAGAAACTCTCAGTACACTGAAGCTTGACTGATGAAAAACTGATTACATAACTAAGGACTTTTGGGAATAAACAGTGCCCATTTTCAGAGGATGCAATGTGGGGGGCCATCAGCGACTAAGACTTCTGTGAAACACCTAAAGGCTCATTTTGCTTAGAAGAAGCAATTTAAAAATTTTAACTGTAGTCCAACAATGTGAATGCTTAGAAGTTACAACCATATAATTATGACAGCTACGTTATGCATGTATAAATGCTTATAGCTTTGGGGATGTGCTCCTTACCTTTGCTCTCTGGTTCTGGAACCAGACTTGGACCACACGAACACTAAGTCCAGTCTCTGCAGCCAGGGTCTCTCTTACCTGTAAATC